TCTCTAGATTTGGCGCTAGGAGCTTTTTAGAAATCAAAGTAGAGGGGTCTAAAAAGTGGCTAAATATAGCGACTAAAGCGCTAAGTTGGCAACACTGCTCTTTGCATGGTTTGTTTTCAAATGGTTTGCTGCTGTCTGTTTGGACCTTTCTGAACATGTGCAGCAAATGGACTGATCCAATATGGTGGACACTGAAGGGGGGGGCTGAGACGAACTTAATATTATCAGCGTTCTGATGGCATTTTAGGAAAAGGATTTTTATCAAAAACATAATTAATGTGCACCAATAAGGAATAGTTGTATTAACCGTACATGGAAACAGAGTGTTATGAGGCCCCCAGGAACTTGGGGCCCTAGGCGTCTGCCTAGTATTGCCTAATGGTAAACCCCCCCCGGTCATTTGGATGAATATACTTGAGAAGCCAAAGATCAAAGAACTAACCCTTGTTTTCAAAATGGCCGCTTCATCTTCTGTTTCCCAGCTACACCTGAGGACTCCATGTCATTTGTTTAGGTCTGCCTGTATCATCAGGTGTCCCTATGTTTTCCTTCTGGCTTCAGCCAACAAACCGTAGACGGAGCCTAAATGTCCACCCATTGATGTGGTACACACCTGACACAACATCTCCCTGCTCTGCTCCGGCATTAGGATGTGTCTGAGAGCTGAGAGTGCATGTTTCACCTGCATGGGTAGGAAATGTGCTGTAAGGTCCTGCAGAGGTTCATGTCAGTGGTTACTGGTGGATGTTGTGATTTCTGTAGAACACACCAGTAATATGATCTCCCAGTCTCATCACTGGTTAGACGGCAGCTGTGGTTCTTGGCCGAATTAGGAACATTTGTGATCCGATCTCTGACTTTAAGTCTAATGTTGAGAAAGCCCCAGTGTGTGATGTGAGCTAACCGCATAGCTGTGGGCAGACATGCTCTCCCTGCCTGCAGACATTGAATGTATGTACTGGTGTGTCTGCATGTGGCTCTTAGGGATGCCTTTCTGTGCTCTGTGTTTATGAGCAACCACGGTCACATGCAGAGACGCCAAAACGTCATGTAGAAAACGCACCAGAGACGTGTGGGCTTGCTTTTGTTTTTCTTGGTGTTCGCACTTTAAGGATCCCACGCGGAAATCTTCCGACATCCAGGCCAAAGTTTGTTCGGCTGTGCTTGTTTAGCTTTTATCGGAGATGTGTAACTTTTTTCCACCAATTAAACTGATGGTGTTCCTGTTATTTCTTGAATTGTATTTTAAACATAAGAAAAAAAATACCATTATAGTTTCTGTTATAAATATTAGGAATG